TTTGATATTTCGCAAATTTTTTTCCTAATTAATTTATGGAATAAATACGGAATTGTAACGTAAATCACCCGTAGAATGTTTCAAGTATATTTTACATGTCTTTTACTGGAATTCATTTTCGATGACCTACTTGCGATAGTATTACGATGTATATGTTAGTAAAAAAGTTATTACACATGATACAAAATATTATATATGGTAATATAACCAATTTACCACACATTATGTATATAAAGTACATAGTAAAATACAATTATTGTAATGTTTATTTTTAGTGTTTATAATAGGATAATTTTCTCTTAACTCAAATATCTTAGATATTTTGCAGATTATTCATTTTTTCAAAATTATACAGATTTATATGGTTTTATGAAACATATAATATAGTCCGGAAAAAAATGTTTTTTTAAATTAATTTTTTAATGAAAATTTTAAAGTCCACATTATATTTTTAAATAAAACTATGTTTTTTTTATATAATCTTCTAACCTTTGAGTAAATATATTCATACTATATGTTTATTTTACTTCGATACTATATACTATTATTCGATACTATATACTATATACTATTTTATCGATACTATATACTATATTATATCCGAGCTGAAAGTCCATTTTCAAGTAGAGAATACGCAAATATGAAAAATTTCATTCTTTAATGAGAAAACATCGAGCATAAATAAACGATTTTTACAATGTTACAATGTTAAATACAAATGGGCAGTAATGATAAAACATGTTCGAAATATTCACCATTTGTAGCAATGCATTTTTGAATGCAATAAATAAATGATTCTTTTACTTTTTCCCCATTATGTTTGCATTTATATTATCTGTACATGCATTCAGAATATGTTTTTTCATATTTTCAAACAATATTTTTATATCCTCTACAGAAGAAAGTTAAACATGTTTGACAGGTTTATTTTTCTCTCATGGTATTAATGGCAAAACCTGTTTTCATATTCAAGACCATTATTTTAAACAAAATTTATAATTATGTTCAAATTTTCATGTGTTTTCTAATAATAAAATATTTAAAACATACTATTAATGTATTTAACTTGTTATAATAATTATATAATATCATATTCAGAATGTTTAGATGTGTCAATATCCTTTAAAGCTTCTCAAAGGAACTTTTTTATTTATTTTGAGATACTAAATGCATGTCTTAAGTTAATTAAGTTTAATTCTGAAACATCATTATTATAATATTTACACATAAAATGCGTATTGATACATATTATTGTAAATATTATTGTGTGAATATATTATAAATAATCTAAATACTTGTGTATATGTATATTGTTGTGAATATTATAAATAATCTAAATATTTTAGGTTATATATATAAATTGTCTTAATTTCTTCGAGAAAATTTTTATGATGAAATTCTGCATAAGAATCAAAAGTTACCAAGCTAAATTAGAATATAGTAACTTGCTTCGTAACCCAGATATACGTATCTTGTCTGTGGACTTATGTATAGTATATACATACTACGGTCAACTATGTACAATTACGCGCGTAAGATAAGTAAAAGTACATGTATATATGAATATTACCCTAGTATAACTAAAAAGTTAGTAAACATTATTTAATAAAAATATTATTTAAAGTTTAACTCTTTAATATCTTTTAAAAATAAATATATATTTCTATGATTTCTTATTGTGCACACAACTTCAAAAATATTGATTTGTCGATGTTTCTAAAATACTTGAGAAGAGATAATTAAAATGATATAATATAGTTACTAATCAATATATTTCTATTTTTTTAGCAATTATTAATATTATATGTTATCAGAATATTAATATTATATTTTATCAGAACTCATACAACAATTTGATCTGTTTATTTAATTTACTTATTAAAAATCTTAGTTCATGCATGTATTGTTTATAAGCTAAATTAAGATCTTCAAAGACATCTTGAAAGAGATCTTGAAGACATTTTTCCACGATTTTGTAGTGAATTACGTAATTTATATAAATAACACTAAATAAATAAATAAATATATATATATATATATATATATATTTATTTATTTAGTGTTATTTATATAAATTATATAATTCACTAAAAAATATATAATTCTTTAGAAACTTAAGCAGGATTATTTTAATCGTGATATACGTTATATTAGGAGTTCATTCTTGAGTAATATGCACCTGAAATTAAATAGCGCCCTCTTATACTTAAAATGATTTAAATTAAAAACTCAGCCAAATCCGTGTAAATTTTGCCAAGTTTTCTCTGATAGAAATTATTATAATAACTTTTTCTATCAGTTTAATATCTGAGTAAATTTGATACAAATTCAACAAGAATTTTAGGATATTAAAATGATTAAAATCGCATAAAAATAGATAATTATTCGCACTTTTGAATAAAGTAGGAATTTAATCTCGAGATTTAAAAAATTTTAATTATTTCTTTAATTTATTTTATCATTTATTTAATTAAGTTGTACTAATCGTTTGCTATGTAGAATTACGATATAATATATATTACAATACATATTATTTTACGAGAAAAAATTTACAATCGGTTACTCATATTGTAGAAAAGGATACATATATGCTGGCTCGCTATCTTTGTCAGGGATTTGCTGATTGATTGATATTATTATAATATCATAAAAGATATTATTAGTACCAAAAAAGATCAATCAGTGAATCCCTGACAAAAATAATAATCCATCCAGCATATACGTATCCTTTTCTACGAATTACATTTTTTCACTCTTAACTCGCTCCAATATATTTAGAGAACTCAATAACTTTGATAATGTAATAGTGAACATACTTTTTAAATAAAAATTAAAACAATGAAAAATATCAAATGTATCGATATACTACTTATGTAATATTCACTTTTATTATACTTATATAACATTAATAACTCTGTTTATGAAATTGGATCAAATATTAAATTTTGTTATAAGTATATTTAAAATTTACGTTAGGTATTTATTTTATTTAAACCACTAGCAGATTTTACTTAGTTTTGTTGTCAATCTCCTGTCAGATTGCACAAATCCTGCGATCGATTTTTACCAATCTATTGTTAGATTCCACGAGCAAACTCTACCGATAGATCACAAACTTAATGCAGACATAATTGAGACTAATTCGTTAGCAATTTCTGATAAAATCTATTGATTATTTGTCGCGCATTTTGCTACGGGCATATGGCTAATGAGAATTGTAATATCTTAGAATATAATCATTAGACTCTCATAGTATATATACATATATCATATATATTATTCACAAAAAACAATAAGTAATAAAAAAAGGATTTTTTTGTTATCATATTTGTTATTCTGCACATACTATATATAACATATATATAATTATTATAAAATATATAAATTATATATGAAATTATATATAAATTATATATAAAATATAAATCATTATCTGTACATTTATGGCAAAGTAAATTCGAGATGGAGAGAAAAGCACCATCTCTTACCCTTGCATCGCTACTCTGAAAAAATTCAAATTTAATTAAAATCTATTTTTAATTTTTAAAATTAAAATTATATTTGGCTTACGTTACATGATGATATCGAGTTTTATGATTAAATTCAATTATATTCTTTATCGACAAAAAAAATATACTAGTCAAGGATAAGGAGAGTTGATATTAGCAGAAAAGAGGGACAGCTTATTCATTCACTCGGTTTGATTTGATAACATATGACTCGCTATTTGTTTTTTAGGATAAGTGTCAAATTATAACATGTGCATCTCCACATGCAGAAAAACAAATAACTGTAAGTCGAATGATGCTGAGTCAAACAAATAGATCAAAGTGCTTGTAGTCTTCCCTTATCGCCCACTTTTAGTTTCTCTTATATAAGATTCCGTCTATATATATTATTCTAAAATTGATGCAATTGTTTTTGACGATCGAAGCTTGCTATATTACGTCAAAGAAACTTATTGAAAAATACCAAGCGGATGAATGCTTTCCTACGAAATGTCTCATTTTACAGAAAATATCTAGCAAATGTCTGAAGATGCATTCAAACAATGTAACTTTCAGATGTCTCGAATTTTTACTGTCTAAGCATTATTCTTTTATGTTTTTACATTATTAAATTTAATTTTTCGCAGATTATTTATATAAATGGGGATGAAAATAATTTAGGGAAGTAAAATTACAAACGAAATTTGTTGATTATATAAATATCGTAAAGTACTCTTTCCACAATATTCTTTAAAATCAATGTGTGCGTAGGATCGGTACTTCCGATTTTATTAAAGCATAAGATTCGATATTGCCGAATGCAATATCGATTTCCAAGTGTTCCCATTTATAATCTTGCACGATGTAATATTAATGTTTCTTGAGATTTGTACGAAGTATTCTCTTAATTTGAGTATATAACAGATACCTTGACTTTTTTATACCCTCTTTTTCTTATCCCTACTCTTCCATTTTTCATATACTCATAGTCGTAGTACAATAAAGCAGCATGATAAAAGTACTTTTGTTTCTCTCAATCATACGAAAGAACGATATACTTTCTGCTTATATCCTGCGGCGCATTAAAACGGAAACGTCGGAGAAATTCCAGATAATGCCCAATAGTAAATTAAGATATAATAACTTTCGTGAAAGTTGTACGATGGTGAAGCAGTGAAAGAGGTGGAATACGAGGAGGTAGAGAACTCTATTAACTTTTATTTCTCCGGGAAAGTAACTTCTCTCATCCTCCTTCTCCTCCTCCTCCTCCTCCTCCTCCTCCTCCTCCTTCTCCTCCTCTCCTCCTCCTCTTTCACTTCCACTTCTCCTACCCCTCTTTCTTCTCCATCTCCACTTCCACCAGCACCTCCATCTTTTCCCGCGTTTTCTCTCTCTCTCCCTTCATCCCATCACTATCGTTCCTTGCCTATGCTCTCATCGTCGGTTTCTTCTCTACCTCGACACCCCCGCACATACCGCTTCCTCTCGTCGCAGCTCGATCGGCTACCCCTCCACTCTCACCCTACCCAAGTCCCGGTCTCGGCCTCGGCCCCGCCGACTTCCCCCGACGGTGAAACTTTGTAAAGCGACTTAGTCAAAGTTTAATAAATTCCTTCGAGGAAGTTTCAAAGCGGTTCTACGCGGGATTGCAAATGATTACGTTTCGTCGTGCTAGAGAATATGCGAAGATGGGAGGAATCGGTATGTAAGGCCGACAGAAGCAGGTAAATAAATGGAAAAAAAAACAGAATAGTGGGTTTGCGCAAAATATTTTTTGCAAAAGTAAGAATATCTTAACTGTTATTGATCATGGAAGTTGATATTAGGCCGGTCAAGTTTGACATTAGGGCGATTAATCGAAAGTAACTTCGTTATTCGTAAAGGAAGACTGATATTAAATTGCAATTTCGAAGAAACGACGTTTACGATAGTTAGATTATTCGTTAGACTATGCGATATTGAAATTACGATATATAATATATGTGTTGATTTATGTTATACGTTTCGATCGTGCGCTTTCATTGTTACCTTCTTAACGTCCAATTTCTAGATAACATACAATTTCTTCTTCCATTGAATTTCTATATAACTATTCTATTTCAATCACGGGAATCGATCTCCTTTTACGATAAAAAAAATCCTCGAATGTACAAGCTCGTAATTTAGTTTAAAATATTCCATGGATTGCGCGAACGAGTCGTAAATAGATCAATCAACGAGTACAATAATGTCACACAAAGCAATCGCGTATTCTTCTTTTATAACGAATATCGAAATATGATATATTACAAGGATATCTTTTTTACAAAATAATATTCCTTTTATTTCTTCTTTTTGTCCCGTGTAATTCAAAGATAAATCGATAAGAAATTCCCTCCCTTTCCCTCCATCCCCTCCCCCTCCCTCTCTGTCGCGTTATTGGTGAAGTATAATTTCGGAAGCGGAATGGATAGAGGAGTAAGCGTCGTTCGCAGGAAGGAAAAAAAAACAAAAAGATGAATTCGTACTTTATGCACAAAAGAGAAATCTATGTGTCGAACGAAGGGACGAACAAGGACAAGGAGAGAGGCTCACTCACGTAACAAACACAATTGACTCGGTGATAGTGACCAGAAAATGGCCGCCACGACGCAAACAAATGAGCAAGTCCAACCATTCCCATGGCAACAATCTCAATCAGATAGGAGCTAGCGGAGCAGAGAACAGAGAACACGCCGGATAATATATTCGATACAGGTAATATATAGCGCTCCAGATACAATATTTATGTCTCGACGTATTTCACTAGCAGCCCATTATTCATTCGCTCGTACTGAATAAGCATTAATATCATAGAGCTCATGTGCTTCGTGCTGCACAAGATCTTTTTCAGTTTTACTTCTGCTTCTATTCTCGCCCAGCTCTCTATCCCATCTCATTCGTAGGGTGCCCGATGATGATGATGATGACGGTCACTATTATACGACAGATAAAAAAAAACGTTTAAATAATTCACTTGCATAATCCATTTTTATTTTATTTTAGTCCGATCAAAGGCTATTCATATATATCTTTGCCATCGATGACTTGCATGTTAGCAGCAAATCGAAAAAAGGGAGCGAACAGTGCGAGAAACCGGTTACCATTGTTACAGCGTCGTCGCTACCACGACAGAGTCATCGACTACGAATACTTGAGATACTTTTATTGTCATGAACTAAACCTTATTTTGTGTATATGCATATGTGTGGCGTGTGTGTGTGTGTACATTGTAGCAATGTTATAGAGAGAATGCTATAGAATTATTATTTCAAAAACTACCTCTTGTCCCTTCTTTCGGATGAGTAAACTCTGAAGAAAAAGCTAAAAGATTTCAGGAGAAGATAAAAATCAAATTAAAAATATGATCAAACTCGCTTCTATATATTCCTTTGAAGGCAAAATATCTGTCTATTTTAGGATCAAATAAAATAATTATAAAGCATAACGCAAAATCAATGTTCGAATAATGCATTTAATGCTGGATAAAATACAAGTACTTGATGAAATATAAGATTTAGTAAGTAATTGTAATGCTTATTTAGGTTTTATCGAAATTAATAATTATTTGTAATTGTTCAATTTTTTGTGAATATTGTTATTTTTATAGCATATTTATAATTTTATAATTTATCATTTATAATTTTATAATTTATCATGATAAGTAAGCTAGTATAATGCAACTTTATGCAAAATACGGCCCTACAAATCGTTTTAAATATTTAAAAATATATACGTAACAGTAAATTATAATGTCCAGATTAAATACTGGACTTGAATCTGCGAAAGGCATCGACTCATATTCTATTAAAAACTTATCTGTTAGATCTATCCATAAAGTATCTCCACACACACATGTACATATACAGGTTATTTTAATACAAAATATTCTTGGACAGATTAATTGCTTGTTATTAGTGCACATGATTTTATGTTAATAACTAATTTGTATATAAAAAGTAATCTGTAAATGTTAATAAGTACAACGAGCGATAACTTACCTCATATCTTTTGCTTAAAAAATTATGAAGGAGATTTAATAATATGATATTCATATTATGCTCTAAATTCTCTCATAATTAAAATGATTTATATAAATTTTTGTTAATTAAATCTAATAGGTATATTGCACGAAAGCACTCAATCAATAACACGAGATTCTTTTATCTTTATCTTCTTTTTCATAAAAATGTTCAATATAAATGTAAGAATTATCTTATATATATTCTCATTATCATTAGATATTAATATAGTTCGGTGCTATTTGCTGTTATTTCTGTTAGTTTTTCATCAATATGCTTATATCTTAATTTAAAAAATTCAACAGTTGCGTATATATAAGAAGGAAAATGTAAAAATACACAGGAATAAATTTCAGGCGACGAACAAAATGTCATTTAGTACTTTCACAACGTCACGCAAAACAGTATTTTACATTTTCAAGTCATAAGTTCTTTGAAACGAGAAAAGATAAAAAAGACAAATATTCGATATCACGCGTCCGATAATACTGGATATGAACGCGTCAGTTTGCTATATAAGTTACAAGAGAGACGGGTTAGCTCGAATTCCATTATGCTGTTTTATGCTCGTCATTCTTGTTTTTATTGCACGCCTCTCATCGCTTTTCTCTCTGTTTACGGCCTTGCCTATGAACGTATTCCTCGGTAGATCGCGAGCTATTAGTTTTGTCCTTTCATTATTTTTATGCTCTTGCGCTCGGAACAGAAATAGAAAGAGAGACAAAGATAGAGTAAAAAGAAATCAGGAAATTAAAATGACGTTATGATTGATATGCGGGATAGGAATAAAGTATAATAATAGATATTGAAATATAGATATTGAAGTTGAAAGCATTGAGAATTTAGCATATTAATAAAACGAAATAAGCAAAACACAATCTTTTTATTAATTGTTTACAAATAAATACAGAGTTTAATTTTGTTATTATATGATATAGATCTTGCATCCTTTTTTCTTGCTTTGCTGATGCATCTCGTTTCAGATATATAAGTTACAATTCAATTAAAAATAAATAATTCAATTAAAAGTGTAATAAAATAAATATGAAAATATGTAGTACAGTGCATCATATCGACAGAGATGCGTATAATATGTCTTGGAAAAAAAACACTATTTATATATAACGTGTCTCAAATAAAAAAATATATTTCAATAACTCGTAATCAGTTAGTATTAAAAAGAAAATGTTCAACTTAAAATTGTAGAATTATAGAGATAGCAAATTTATTGTTAGTATGATATCTTATCATCCTATCACTTCATATTTCACTATACGTTTATTTAATGTCATTTTTTTAAATGTCATATTTTGAACTTTATGAGGTACCTGCTTCCAAAGTAAATTCAATTAGTATCTTGTTATAAAACAAATTCAACCATACTATATGTTATGATTCTGAAATGGATTTTATAATATATTTTTTAGGTTATATTATATAATATTTTTAGATCATAAAATGTCAGACTTCTTTAGCATTAACAGAATATACCATGTGAAGATAAAGTTTAACTAGCATCTCCTATGTACGTGCGAGTCTACATGTGTTGGGTATGTATATCGTGCGCGCATATTTCATATATTACATAATTACATTAAACGTTCGATATGTGCCCTATTTTGATCTACACACGTGACAAGGCCTATAATGTTGAACAATTGATAACAGAAACTTTTTTAGGAAATCGCTTTGATTTATACCGCATTCGCTATTGCCAGTCATTCTCTAGAAAAATCTTTTATGTAATCTCACAAATAAAGACTTAATGGAGTGAGACTTGATTGGCTATTCAATAAAATCATCTCGATTATTTCATCGACTTTGACATAGAACATTAAGATAATTCTATATTATTTATACGTAATATATATGACTCATTTTGTTGAAATATACTATGTATTTTACCTGATAAAGATAAAGATAAATCTTTCAGATGACAAATCATTTCGTAAAAAATCTAAATATCTCACACCATTAAACTTTTGATTAAAAAAATATGGAGAAAAAATTGGAATAAAATAGATGAATAATTTTTGCTATCAAGAATCCTGTTTATTATTATCATGAAAATTTCACTCATATGATAGTCAATTTGTCACGACTAATAATTTTTAATTGACCAATATTGACCAATACTGTGATGTCTTAATATTCCAGAGCTATAAAATGTAGCTTTACCATGAAAAAAAATTCCAGAAGAAATTTAGTTATTCCTCTAATTATCATAGCTTAGTGATAAAAATCAACTTGTTACATCATATTCACTTAAGGCTTCTAAAAGTCATCAGAATATAGATGATATTTTAAAGATTATCGAATCTTATGTGCGGTAAATCAAGGTCCATCATGATACATTCAATTTATGCTGAATTTCACGGAGACTGTAATGATGTGTCGATTCATATGCATCATATTCAGATAACTCAGACGGCAACAGTTCGAATGTAGTCTTGATTTTCCCATTGTTATCGCGGTCGTTCTGTTCTTTCTTGTCGACATTTTTTTCTACGAAATAAATTACAAAAAACGTTAACGTGACGTGTTCCATGAAGAAATTATGCTAGGTAGAAATAAATAGTTCATCGATAACGGCACTTAACATTCTTCTGAAATAATGAGAATATAAATTATTTCATTGAGAGAATTATTTCTGAGACGAGATTGCTTTTAAAAACAATATATGTCTGATTTGATATACAAAAGTAGAGATGCCATAAATATGATATGCAAAGTTCGAAACTCCGCGTCGCTTATGTCTGGCCTGCCCACTTCAAACACCTGCGAGCAGTCGAGAAAAGCATATGCTCGCTAAGTTACACTGTATGCTATACCATCTAACTCTTATAGCTGAAGTGGCATATATGGCATTGCTTTTGAAAATATCTTGACTTTTGAAATTATAAAATCCATTTCAAGATCATAAAATACATAAATAGATAGGTATAGATAAATTAGCCTTGGAATCAGGTATTCATGAAATTCAAAATATCATGTATAATTTGAAAAAATCGTGTTGTGAAGGTACGCTGAAATGTGAAGCGATGTAATAATAATATTATATTTAATTTATTCTCTCTGTGGCCTATAATTTTAATTTGAATAATTTTTTCCCAGGTAATTACTTTTTTATAATATTATTTTTAGTATATTACATCTTGCATTGATAATACAGCTAAAGTATTCTTTATTGCAAGAGTTGATGAGAGAAACAAAGCGCATTAATAATAATATTAACTACCATATAACGTAATTTATTTTCATCAGCGCGCTTATTATTTTTTTATATAATTTAGATATAATAAACTAAATTATATTTAACTTGTTAGATGTATGTCTAGATGGCATATCTTATAGCTTAATAAATAAATTATTATATTAGAAATAGCGTTAACATTTCCTTTCGTTTTGATCCAATAATATAGTAGGGTAAAGCATTTCTTATTACGCGCACATTTGGAAATAAAAACATAATTCCAATGTATCAAGCATTTGATGAATGTATAATACATATATAAAAATGTATTTTATATTATTAGCTATTTTATGCCATCATCGACAGTTAAAATCCAAGTTATAAACTGTACAATTGTATAAATAATAAACTGTACAACTGTACAACTGTATAAATAATAACTGTACAACTGTATTAATAATATTACAAATTTTTAAATGGTATACAACATCTGATACTACCTGTCTAAATAAAATATTTACTTTCTTCTTATTTCGTAAAATTTAGTAATATTTTGATTACATACTTGATAATTTTTAAATCATTTATTTTATATTTATCTCTTGAAAGAAGAAAACAGCAATTAATAAACAGTTGTTTGTTTAATGATATTATGCAATTTAATATATAATTTGCATATTCGAGTATAATATCTTGTTAAACAGAAATTAGAGACATGTGTGCATCCCAGCCATAATATTTCGCGTAATGCAATATTATTATTACATATTCGTCGAAAACATAACTTTTTTTTATATTGATACAACAATATTTTTTTCAGTGAATGATATTTTACTCTCTTCATAAGAATTAGATTCATAAGATTTAGATTTTCATAAGAATCTTTTCGTAAAAATTTTCACACATTTATACACATTCATATATTCATCTATCTATATCCATACATCCGTATATTTTTGATTAATCACATAATTTTAAACTTTTTTATCTCAAAAAATGCTACATACATATATATAAAATTACTCAAAACAATAAATTGACTGTTTACAAAATATAAAAAAAGAAGCTAGAGAATTCTTAGCGGTCAACTGATATTAATCAGATTTTTTTTATTTGTTTCTATTTTTTGAACTATGAATACCATTTTATAAAAAATCTATGAAGACCATTATCTATGAATAGCATTTTATAGAAAATTAATACAGTTTTTTATCCTATCATTTTGTTGCGTCAACTTTTCTATTACGATTTTTTCATTGTTTCTAGATCACATCTGCTGAAT